AAAAACCACTCCTCTGGAGCAGTACCAATTGAAGGAGAAAGAGTTGCGTAGTAGCGCATAAAATTTTTTCGCAATAGCTAACTTGATCATTACTTGGACAGCAAATCCCTCTACACGTCGTTCATTCATTTCGATGATAAATTGGTACTGGCTTATGCAGTTGAGTCAAACCCCGCCATCAGCTTGCTTTTAAGCAACCCTCAACGAAGGAGAGCCTTCCTGGATGGCAATTCCTGTTTGCATTTGCTGCCGCTTGGACTACTTCTCAAGTGTCTGCCCTTTACCTCTAATTGAAGACGAATACGAGGAAGGGGGGGGGGGGTTCTTTTAACTATATTTAATATCACTACAAAGTGCTGTAGGGATTTTAGAGATATAAACAATAAGAATATCCCTGGCTAAGAGATTTGAAGGGGATAGGGGGCCTGAAATCTTCTATGTGTTGTTAACATATGCAGTTTGTTTGGCATTGCTGATCCATCGTGGAGAGGAGGAACACAATCGAATTTTGATAATTAATGAAAACACTGGATGTCTGCGTTTCATCAGATTCTAATATTCAGTTCTCGTAAAAATTTTCGATGAAAAAAAATGCTGAAATTGCTTTTTAGCCTTTTTTTGAGAAAAGTTAGATTTGGGATTTTTCTTGGTAATTTTTTTTAGGTTGACCGATATGAATAAACTGCTCAACGACAACCATCATCTGCTTGGATTGCGACTGAAAATTCGATTGGCAAGTAACGTTGCTGTTATGGAAGCACACAACAATTACCTATCGGCAATGAGTATGCAGGCTAGTGGCATGTCATCAACGAGCATTGCTTCCACACTACACGATCATCCCAAGTCGCTGACCAGAGTAAGTTTTTTGTGATTACTTAGGACGAGGTCCAGTCGCGGTGTTGAGCTAAGCCGTATATGACTTAATGAATTGAAACTTCTTAAGTCATCCATACTTAATTCTTTCACACTAACTCTATTTCTACATCCATCCATGTTTAGTTAAATTTTTTGTGATTACTTAAGACACGACTCTCATACTGACGACGTCCAGTCGCGGTGTTGAGCTAAGCCGTATATGACTTAATGGGCCGAAACGTCTTAACTCATTCGTACTTAGTTCTTTCACACTAACTCAGTTTCTACATCCATCCGTGTTTAGTTTGCTTCATGCCTGCCCTCCTTAAGCTCCTAACATCTACGTGCATTTGTCTTATTCACCTTCCTTTTAACCCTTACTTTTTGCATAAACACACATCATCTAAAATTAAAATTACAATCATTCTATAGTCAGCTTAGGACATTTGGGTCATCTGTAATTCAGTTTCCGAACAAATAAACAATATTTTATTAAAAAAAATAGAAAAACAAAAATACGGTCAGAAACAAAAACCAACCAAAAATCGCGCGAGGTCCGGCAGCAGCTTCAATTATTTTGCACACCG